TGAAGAGACAGACAGCGGGCATGGTTTATGCTCGTGGCACCGCTTGCGGTAGTGTCTGCTGGGAGCAAGCAAAATCTTTGCACCAAAGTAATTGTGTTACTGTAGAGAAATCTAGGCATCGTTCTTCCTGCACAAGAAGAAAGCTGCATGAAACTCCTCTTCGCAGCACCAATTTGGGGCAAGCAAAATCTTTGATCCAAGTTTCCGCTTGCCTATCTACCACACTGGAGTGTACGGCAACTCAATGAAGAACGGGTATCAAAACTGTTGTCTCCCTCTATTGTGTAGCAAGTCCTATTAAGGTGAATCTTCAAATTGAGTCTGGTTGTTGGTGCTGCTCACTTTCCAATTATGCACCACCTTGTCTGCAACCCACGCGAGGCCACTGCGCCTTCTCTATATAACATTTTATATATATATATACAAATTGGCTGACACAAAAATTAAATGGTCAGTAAATGAAAGCGAGTCAGCGAAGGGACACAATAGACAGTGGAGAAAGATATTCACAGATCATCTTATTTTGGGTTTTTTGTTTTGTTTTGTTTTGTTTGGGTTTTTTAACGCAGGGACGTGTAGCCTAAGACATTAAAGTACTCAGAGTATGACAGATCGCCTATACTTTCTGCATGGTGCTGAGGCTTATTATTAGTCACTGGTGTTTCGAAGGCCAGTGGTAAACAGTTTACATTGTTGTAGTGGGCCTCCTTCAACAGGTGGGCTGAAGGATGAGAATTCTTGCGTAAAAACAGCTTCATAAAAAAATTCGGTGTGGAAGGCCTGCTGTGCCAAAAGGTAGTACTAACCTTCTACCTTACAACGCAGGTCCAACGTTCTTATAATTTGGACTTGGACAGCGCTATATGAATGACTTTTTCTAAAATCATTCCAACGACAAAGTCATAAGTAAGCGTAATCTAAATGCTGTTAAAGTAACCTTAATTACACTGGATAAATCATATTGAAATAAAGTGAAAGTAAATCAAGACCTGAAAAGAAGCTTTTTTTGTTTAAAGACAGAAATCAAAACAGCCAGAAACAAGGGAACTTGCTTCGTGCATCAACGTAAAACATTGGTTTTCTGCCATGCACTGTCAGTTCAAGTATTTTTAGTGTCGAAGAAAAAAAAAATTCGTTGTTCGAAGTTGGAAGGAAGCTCGACTTTGTCGTTCGTTCGAAGAACCCCGTGGGCATACAATGTACGTTGATTGCTGGAGGTTGTACCCGAGGATAGGCCTACATGCCCATCTGAATGCTGTTGTTATTTGACATTGCTTGACTGACACTGACATGAG